GTTGTTTTGTTGGGTTTTTTTAGAGGGGGGATTGGTAAGTGTTTTTACTGCGCTCGCAAATGCATAAGGTCATATGAGCGCGCCGGACACATTGAACTTTTTCAGTGGTAGGAAATTTGAATTTTGCACGGGTGGCGACAAAAGCCTACTCGTATCGATTCTGGACAACCAAGGGATCTTTACCGTGCGCAACTTGCACACAGGACCTCCGAGATTGTTTCACCCTTGTCCTAGAAGGCTAAGTGTAGATATTTCCTACCATAAAAGGAGCCAAGGAGTAGCAATAGAAAGGCTGCAGAAAGTGTCAGAAGCCCAGAGGAGGGGGTAAAGGAGGCGATGGGGTGGGGGCAGTAAGTGGAGACAAAAGCAGACGACAGATCACTGTTAGAAAGCAGGAAAGGATGTGAAAGGATAAAATTTTAGATAAGAAAATTTTCTGTCGCTATTCGGAATTGAATCCCCGACCTATTGAATGCGAGACGAACACCTTAACCTCCAGACCACGAGTGACCCCTTGTGTGGTTTGATCCTTCTTTCCTGTCAAACATCTCTTTGTCTTTATCTCTCTTTTGTTGTTCTTGTTTTGGAAAGCGTTTTACGGCACTTGCAACGCAATTATGGCGTACTAGTGCTGGAGATTAAAGGTGTTACAACAGAGTAAAAAACACCAATTAGAAGGACATAAATACATTGTACGATAAATGTTTGACCAAAAAAAAGAAAAACACACACACTAGAGTAGCTCTAGAATCTATCCGAAAAATGCCCTTGTCCTTATCTCTCCTCCTTTTTTTCTTCGAATGATACTCTCTAATAATTCCTCTTATCCTCTGCTCATATTACATGACCCAATTGAGTTCTAAGTGTTGTAAAACTTTATGCTTTAAGTAAAGTAAAGTGCCGAAAGGGGGCTCTCGTGGCCTAGAGGTTAAGGTGTTGGCCTCTCATTCAAAGGTCCCGGGTTCGAATCCGGGTAGCGACCGAAAAAATTTTTCTCTAAAATTTTCTCCTTT